GGTTCCTGCTGGCGTCAGCTCTGCACCTGACGGAGGCACAGGTGGGTCCACAGTTCAAGAGTCAAACAACGGACCTTAGACCCAGACACACTGGGACAGACTCCTGTCCACTGCCTCCCTCTAACCTCTGCCTCTGTCTTCCAGGTCAAAGTCTGGTTCCAGAACCGACGCATCAAGTGGCGCAAGCAGAGTCTGGAGCAGCAGCAGGCCAAACTGGTCAAACTGGGTCTGGCCGCTCCACCACAGAGTCCAGGGTCCCAGGGCAACGGGGACGAAGGCGAAGACGATGAGGAAGGAGAAGAGTTTACTGACTCTGATGTGGACATTGATGTGTCGGATGATGCAACTGACCACCGCTGACCCACTGTGGACCACTGCTGACCCATCTGTCAGAACCCCGTTCAGACATAGACATAGACTGTAAATAACTGATGAATATTTAATAGATGTAACCTTTTCTATTTAATTTTTTAATACTCTGATCTGATGTTTGTATATTTGGATAAAATATTCAGAAATATATTTTGTGACAAAAGACTAAAAACCTGTTTCACTCCTTATTTTCCTGATGAGCCAAAAACAACTGGAACAGAGAGGGGTTCAAAGAAAAAAAAAGTCAAAGATTTAATGGCTGTTCATGGTCAAATAAAGCCAGTAACAGTGAAAAAAACAAAAACTTAAAAAACAAAATTCACCTCAATAAAAACAATAATCTTCAATATAATATCATTAATATAATATTATTAATAAGTATACCTTTATAATTAGGTTAACTGATTGATCATTAAGACTTTTAACCTTCCATGATTATCTTCATCAGGTGATGTTGAAGTTTAAAATGTTTGATTTTTTTTAGATTCCACTTTAATCAACTTTACTGTAGCTTCTCTCCACATTTGAACATGGGGTGAGGTCACCCTGCTCCCCTCTCCTCCCGGCCTGTGCTGCGTGCCATAAAAAGAACAGTGTTTTTTTCTTTTTGTTCTTCCCACTGAGAGGATGATGAGGCACTTCCTTTAACTTCCTCTGCAGTTTGATCTGATGCTCAGTCTGAGCCTCAGGTTTAATCTGAGCCAATAAAACAGCAGCTGGGGATGATCCCTGTCAGTGTAACCTCAGGTCAGACCGACGCTGCCCCTCACTGCTTAATCTGCTTAAATGCCCCACAATCCAGGTCCACAGTGGAAAGGTCTGAGTGGTCCTGTTCTCAGAGGACACCGTGGAACCTGTCTCTCTGAGGATGACACTCCTCTGTCCTCTCAACCCACATGGACATGAGGGACAAATCGTAGCCGGGACACGGAAGACCAGACCATCAGGGCAGAAAACCCAGGAGCTGGACTTCAGAGGGTCTCAGTGCCGCCTCCTGTGGCTCAATGTGATTACAACACAGAGCCCATGCAGACTTTAATCTCTGTAATCCTGGATTCTGCGCTGAAAGTAATTTATCCATCGACCGCAAATTTATGTTCCTGCTCTGAACTTTATTCACAGAGAAAAGTGTCAGTTTTAGGTTTGAATCCATTTCCCTGATCATCTATTAAATCCGTGTGTCAGGACAAAGGTCAATAGGTGATGCACGAGGACAGAACACCAGTGTCCACCGAAGCTGTGGTCTTCATGACAGACCTAGACCACAAAGTTAGTTTGTCCTCTGTGTTGTGTGATAATCAGCTGTTTCTGTTTCTATCAGCTTAAATCTAATGAAGGGAGACTCTCTTCACTGCTCCTTACCAGGTCACAAATGCATGGGCGGCCCCCCTGGCAGGTGCATGGTAAGGTGCCAGAGGGAGCGTGAGGGTCTTCCAATGGAATATGGCACACTGGACATAAGTGTGCCACTGCTGGAGTGCTTGAATGATGACAAGCCTCCAGTCACTAGGTGGCAGCAACTCATCGAGTGGCTTGTACTGAATGAAGAATAACACAGCAGGCTTCAGTGAGAACAGGCCAGCTCTAACCAACACGATTCATTTTAAACCTAAAAGTACATGTTCACAATTTCAAAGAGAATTTAAAATATGATGTAATTGAAGAATTTATTTTAATTAACATTTATGTTTAAACACAGGGCCTGGAATTCATTGTGATGATGTCAGTCTGCATCACTGTGACAGCACATAGGCCAGGGAAAATATTGATTATATAGGTTTTTAAGTGATTTTAATGTATCATCATGTTCATCATCATCTGAGTTTGTTTATGTTCAGAGAGATATTTTAACTACACTTCAAAACATGATTATTTGCTGATTCAGGTAGTTATACCTTTTTATGAATCAATAATAAGTGAGTATAAATGAATAGTTTGTGTTGTTCTGGCTTCTCTGCTCACATGACTCAGGTCTGAGTCCAAAGGTGTGAAAGTTCTCATGGAGATGAAATGAGCTGCAACCTCTGTAAAAAATGCTGATGAGTCTGAAGACTGAGCTTCTGCTGCATCAACAGTCGTTAGCTTTGAAGTTGAGGCCGCTCTTTGTGTCAAACTGAAAAGGTTTTTCAGACAAACAAAAGCCCCCGTGTGCTGCTCAGAGGAGGAGAAGCAGCGGAGAGGAGGGCTGAGGCTGGAGGACAGGAGGAGAATGCTATGCTTCCTGAGGAGACTGAACAAGAGGAGGAAGAAGAGGAGGAGGAGATAAATAATTATGACCTATTAAACCCAGCTAAATTTTCTGTTCCTTTACTTATTCCTGAATCAAAACAAAAAACAAATAAAACAAACAAACAAACAAAAAAAACTGGATTGTGCCACACAAATACCTCGTCTGTTTTGTTAACATATAAGCAAAGTTAGTTAGGTGACAAACATGTAAAACATTTTGCTTTTAAAATATTGTACCTATAATCTATTATAATTTACCTGCTGTTTTATCCAGAATTTCTATTAGTTATTGAGAAAAACAACAACAACAACAACAATATCAAGGTCTATAATGGTCAGTCAGGTCAGATGAAACAAAAATTGATTATTTTTATATATTATATATATATACATATATTGTTTACATATCTGTGTATAGATATATAAAACATGTTTTTTTGTTTTAATGTATTTTATTTTTACAAAAGAAAGCTAAAGATAATTTATATTTTCACAGAGTACCATCAGTATCCTCAAAGTTATTTCGAGAAAAATCGAGTTTCTTTTTAAGTATCGATATTTTTAAAACAACAACTCGTTTGATTGAACAGGTGCTGTGTTTCGTGCTCCTGAGGCCGGGCCGATCGTGCATACACAAGCTGACGTTGTACTTCTCACACGTGACAGTGACGTGTTACTTTTCTCATGTCCATTAAAGCGACGACAGTGAGAGAAAATGAGAGAGAGAGACGTTAGCTGAGCACACAGAGCTAATGAGAAACATAATGAGCAATTAGTTTATTAATGAGGTAGAGGAGTGATGTGGTGGTTGTGTACGGTCTGACGTCACACATGAGCAGAGCTTCACACACACGCACACACTGTCACCATACACTAAACAAACTTGTCACAAACTAAATGTCAAATGTGAAATGCTAAGCTAACGCAGACGTTGGTCTGAAGCCTTCAGCAGCCACAGGGTGGGAGCATTGGTCTAATAACACCGTCCTGACATTCAAACCAACCAGTGTCGTCGTGTCGGAGTTATTTTATGTTGTGTGATATTAAAAATAGTCTTTAATCAAGTAATTAATTAAAAAATACATATCTTTTATGTCATCATTCACGAGAAACATCGATAGAAATGGTTTTCGTCGGGATACAGGGGACAACAACAGGACGTCACTGGAAAACAGGTAACGTCCGTCATTCTGCTAATGACCGTTAGAGGGAGATGTTGATCCACAATTATCTGAAGGTTTATCTCATTGTCTGCTTTATGCACTGAAGTTGAACATGTCGTATGCACTCAGGCAAAGTGATTGTCTTTTTTAGTTCATTAAATTCTATTGTTCGACTTTATTATTTACTCTCTAATGTTTTCTTTATTTTCACATTAAAGTTAAAAACTAAAAACTGCGTCTTTAGGTATTCACAAATCCCCGATCTATCCTACAGCGCAGTAAACATTTATATTTATTATAAATATCCAAGTTGATATCGGGGGAATGACGTCTTCAGCTTCGCCTCCCGTCAAATTATGTCTTCATTTGATGCCGCTGTGATCCCCTTGTCTTCGCCGGGGTAATCGGATTGTCTTCGACTTAGTCTGATTAAACACTGCGTTACATTCCTTCAAATACTCATTCTCCAACAGTTCCATGAAGTGAACAGGTGACTGTTGAAGCACATACAGATATTATTAAAGTTATTTTTCATCTTTTTTTCACTCTTCTCTCACCCGTAAAACCTCTGAACTCCACGGTTCCTGCCTCTCCTCCCTCTCCTGCTCACTGAGGTCAGTCATCAGAATCGGTCAGTGATTAACCAGCAGTGATCAGGGTCAGTGGATGGAGAGCTGAAGGTTCCACTATTAAATCAGAGCCAGACTCAAACTTCCTGAAAGCCTCAAACCATAACAACAGCCGCCGAGGCTGTTTTAATCTTAATACTTTTATTTGATTTTATAAAATGTTTTAACAGTGTTTGGTGTTTTACAGTGTTTTATATATTATTTTATGTTTTTTTAAAAATAATTAAACAACCTGACTTTTCGATTTTTCTTTGAGTAAATTAATCAGATGAAGAGTTTGAAGGAATTCAGAACAATAAATGAACACACACACACACACACACACACACTCACACGGTTCCTTTTCTAGAGAACGTGCAGAGGAGAACCCTGTGGTTCCCCGTGAGCAGCTCGAACCAGTTCAGTGGAACAGTTTCCTGTTAGTCCAGTAACGGTCTCATCAACGGCCTGTTTCTGCTGCTAATGTCAGGACTAATGATTTTCTACTGCGGTCTAAGAGCAGAGCAGTGAACACCGTGGACAATCATTAACTGTCGGAGCTGAGACTCTCTCTTCCACAGCAGCTCAACAACACTGTGTCATGTTCTTGTTGCTGTTGTTGTTGTTGCTGTTGTTGTTGTTGCTGTTGTTGTTTCCGAGAGGAACGGAAGTGAAGAATCTCTTTCTTTCCCAGTGTGAAAACTGCTTTGATTAATACAGTATGTGTTGTTGCGGAGATTTGGGGGGAAAAGCAGAGAAGAAGAAGGAGACACAGCTGCAGCTGCAGCAGTAAGTCACTCTTTTCTGACGCAAAATAATAAACTAACGCAAAAACATTCAAGGGTGACTCACGAAAACAAAGCCGTGAATAATTTCAATAATATCAGCTGAAATAAAAAACAAACAAACCCGAGATTCACTGTCAAACACACACTGAACACATGAAACCAAACACAACTGAAATAGAATTTCCATTTTTGTTCTATTACACGCATATACAACAAAACAGCGATGAGTGTAGATTTGGATGTTTAAAATGTCTTAATAATAATAATAATAATAATAATAATAATAATAATTATTATTATTATTATTATTATTATTATTATAGCAGAGGTTTAACAAGAGCAGTGAAATAATAGAATAAGGGGAAACTATTATAGAAATTAAACAGTTTAAATCTAGATTTTTTTTTTTGCTTTTTAAACAAGAGCAAAAAAGAAAATGAACCAGTAACGTCCTAACGTGTCCTCAGTCTATACAGACGGTCGTCTCAGTCAGATACACAGAAGCCGATTAACTGCAATGTTTTTTTAAAAGCCTATGTTTTTGTTTTTTCATCTAAAATTACAATAATTAAACTAAAATTAAATTTAAATGGAAAACCCCGCCGAGGACTTCTTTCATTCTTTTATTTTCGAATGGATGAAAGTGTGAAAACGCAAAGTGAAACCAAAGTTGTTTTAATTTTTCATGTGAAAAATAAACGTGATTCTACATGTGAGGAAAAGCCGAGGGAAACGTCTCTCCTCTGCGCTGTTGGACTTGAACTGCTTTCGTCGTGTCACAGACTTGATTGACAGCTGCTCTGCTCCAATCGCATCGTCCGTTTCCTCCCTGACTCCGCAAAGGAGGCTGGGAAAGCGCCGAGGAGTCGTTACTACGGTGCACTTAGTTTCCCAAGACTCAGAAGCTTCAGCTTGATGGAGCTGAGAAGGTTTGGTCCGCAGCAGCAGAAACACCGACGGCAGTGACGTCAGCAGCGTCTCCTCTGGACTCAGATCAAAGATGAAGCTTCTCTGACAGGATTTACTACTTGAACTACTTTTTTTCTCTCCACAAGAAGAAACTCCAACATCACTTCTTCTCCTGCAGCTGCTCCTTGTCCCAGACATGATGTTCTCCTCTAACGGGAAACGCTGCTTCACCATCGAGTCCCTGGTGGCTAAAGACAACCCTCTGACTGCTGAGGAACCCATCCGTCCCACGGCCCTCACCTACGCCACTCCAAGCACCGACGTGTTAATCAACGGGTACCATAGTCCGGCGAACCGACCCCTCTACCAGAGCCCCGAGCTGGTTTTTCCCGAGGCCTTGACCCACCATCACCACCACCAGAACCACCACCCGTCCTCCATCAGCGTGTCTCCCCACCAGCAGCTCCAAAACCTGCAGAACCTCCAGAGTCCACACTTTTTCGGAACGCAGCCCACGCGGGACCCGCTCAGCTTTTACCCCTGGGTTCTGCGGAACCGGTTCTTCGGTCACCGATTCCACGGTAAAGTGGTGGAAATGTTGTCTCACTGACTAATTCAATGGTATAGACTCGAAGACAGAATCAAGTAAAATTCAAGCGTTTTCTGCGGCGAAGATGTTTAAGACAGTTTTATCTGCGTTTATCGTTTTATTAACTTCCATCAAGTAGTAATTTATTATTATTATTATTATTATTATTATTATTATTATTATTATTATATGTCGACTGGTACCTTAACCACCATAATGGCCTCAGGTTAGAATAAATAAATCCCGCTGCATCATCATCCAGATAAAACACTGTTACATTATTTTATATTATTATTACTATTATTATTATCATTATTATAAGTATTATTAACAACAACCCGGTTTCAACCGTGGGTTAAATCTTAACTAAAATTATTATTATTGTATAAAAATTAAACTCTGTATAAATCCAAAATATAATTCATTATAATTATTAACTAATATGAGCAGTTAGCTGTACTTGGTCGTTCTCTTTTTTAATGAAGGCAAATATAACAACAACGATAATATTATTATTCATAATAATAATAATAATAAAGACAATAATACTATGTAGATTCCGTGATTAAAGAATACAGATATTTTAAATACTAATTGTTATTTCATAATTCCAAACATTTTCAAAACTGTTTTTCAGCGTCTTTTTAAAAAATCAAATGTTTGATATGAATAAATTAATTACAAATGACAAATCATCAATCGAATTTTTTTTTGTTTTTTAAAAGATCATAATTATTTTGTTTGTTTCACCGTAACTTCCTTTTATAATTGCTGTCGTTTTTGTTATTATTGTTAGTGTAGACATTTTCATTGGTCGACATCAATTCAAAGGCGCTTGTTATTATGGACCCTGGGATTCTTGGCGATAACAATCCTTTTTTAACTACTTATAGGTTGTTAACTACACATAATAATAATAATTATTATTATGAATAATAATTCATATTATTATTATTATTATTATTATTATTATTATTAATATCGTAATTCTTTCATCACGGAATCTAAACATTATTATTATTATTATTATTTCCATTTGGGACATTTTTGGGACATACTTTAAATGAGTTACGAGACTACACTAAACAACACCAGGATTTTTCCAGTCATCCCGCACCGTTTGTGAACATTTCCATGACTTTAGTATAATTTCCCTTTTCACAGCCCGTGGTTCAGTGGTTCAGTGGTTCAGTGGTTAAAGGATCGTGATGGTAGCCGCAGTTACGGAGGTATAGGACTGTAAACTGTCAGGTGCTGAGTAAGCATCAGACTCCCCCGCTGCCCCGGTCTGTTCGCCGTTAACAACTGCAGGGCTGCAGTTTGTAAATGGGGACTGGAGCGTGTAATTTCCCCACAGGGAACTGACAGCGCACTGATAAGATGTTACTGGTGGATCAGCCTCCAAGTGGCCGAAAACAAGCTCTCTCTGTCCCGACTGAACGTGTCCAGCGCCTGGGTGAACCGAGGAGCAGGCGCTGGCTGCGGCCGCCGGCAGAGCACGACTCAGAGATGGTCACAAGACAGAGTCCGTCGGAGGAGGCTCTGGTTCCTCACATTTGCTTTAGATCATAAAAAATAAATAAAGGCTCTTAAAACGGGGGAGCGGGGCTTGGTTAGTGCACGGCACTGAAAGTTACATGAACATGAAAAATGAAAGGACTTGAAGTCAGTTTCACTGATTTGTGGTTGTTGGTTCTGTCGTCCTCAGGGTCTGACGTGGCCCAGGACAGTCTCCTTCTCCACGGTCCATTTGCACGGAAACCTAAACGCATCAGAACGGCCTTCTCTCCGTCTCAGCTGCTGCGCCTGGAGAGAGCCTTTGAGAAGAACCACTACGTGGTGGGAGCGGAGAGGAAACAGCTGGCCAACAGTCTGAGCTTGTCTGAGACACAGGTGAGGACGGAGGACACACGAGCGCAGTAGACGGAGACATATAAGACCTACAGAGAGTGCAGAGACAGAGCAGTGTCCAGGTTTGAATCCCAACATAGAGAGGGTTCATCATGAAAACTCATGCAGCATTAAACCACTGACAAAGTCATGTAGAGATTTAAATAAATATTGAAATGACCACAGAGGTCAAACAGGTCTCAACCAGTTTTTCAACCTTGGGGTCACAGGCCCACGTGGGGTCGCCTGGAATTCATACAGGGACGCCTGAAATGTCTAGTAATTAAGAAAAATCTAATTATTATTCCTTTAAAGGTTATATTTAAAACACCTAAAACAATTTTAAACAACTGTTTTCTTTCAGTCTAATTAGAATTCTCTTGTTTTCAGTCCGGTTAATTTTAAACAACTGTTTTCTTTCAGTCTCAGTAGAGTGAACATCGAGAATTTAATTAGAATTCTCTTGTTTTCAGTCCGGTTATTTCCAGTATCAGTGCGTTGTGTTTTTCAGGACCTGTTTGATTTGACTAATTCCTTTAATTAAAACTTGAATATGAATTATTCCTGTCATCCTTCATCAGGTCACAGATGTGGCCCAGCCCCTCATTTCCTGCCCAGGTGATAAAGGACATTTCTGTCATTTTTACCTCCTGTGACACCCAGGTTTGGTGGTTAAATTTTAACTCAGATGAGGGTGTGGAGATGAAGTTAGGCAGAAAAGGTGGAGACGTTTTTGGAGATTTTACACTTAAATACCTGTTTATTTCCATCATTTTGTTCTCTCTCAAATGTATACTTTCTTCTTTTTAATTTTTTTAAGTCCTTAGTTTTGTCTTAGTTTTGACCAGGACTTCAGGGATTAAGACCGAGACAAGAATAAACAACGACCAGCCAAAGACTCCATGAATCAATGTCTTCTCTCTGTGTTACCGTCTGTGTCCAGGTGAAGGTCTGGTTCCAGAACAGGAGAACCAAATACAAGCGCCAGAAGCTGGAGGAAGAAGGTCCAGAGAGTCAGCAGAAGAAGAAGGGAAACCACCACATCAACAGGTGGCGCATCGCCACCAAACAGAGCAGCAACGAGGACGTGGACGTCACCTCCGAAGACTGAGATTAGACGTCCCAGAGAACCCAGACCAGACTGACCAAGATCAGAAAATATAGACCGACACCAGAACCACTAAGACCAGATCATCTGAGATCACAGAGAGGACTGAGACCAGACTGATCCAGACCCCGAACAACATGGAGAGCAGAACAAATGCAGCCTTGACGAGGACTAAGACAACACCGACAAAGACCAGTGAAGGGACAGAGACTAGGAAAGACCACTGCCTGTCAAAAACTGTGGTCCCACCAGCCGGGACCCTGCTTTGATGTGGACTGAGCCCTGAGCAGAAGGAACACCACTGGACCAACACTATTTATTATTCAAATATTATTAATATGAAGTATATTCACAGACAAATATTGGGTCAGGGGCCACAAACTGTGACTGACCAGGGGCCTCGTGTGCCGCAGACTGACATGGAGAAGACTTTACCAAGTACTTTTTCAGAGCTGGTTTTACAGATGGACACCGTCTCCGTCCTAATGCTCTGTTTGAATAACACTGTTGATGTAGACACTGCTCAGACTAGACTTCAAGGTGAGCTAGATGCCAGTGATCTCCTGGAGAAACATGGATGGTTACTGCCCTCGGTAAAAATCTGTGGGTTGTTTTTGTAGCACTTTGTCCTCTGTGTGTTTGTCAGTCAGCCGTGTACTGTCTCTACTGTCGCCTGTAAAGGTCAGAACTGGATTGGTCAGTCACTCTGTGGACCAGAAGCATCATTTTTAACTGGTACTTCAGGGAACGAGTGGTGTGGAAGTTCTGAATACTTCACCCTCCTGACTGTGACTGGACCTTAACTCTTTGTGTATTTTGTAGTTAGAGTAAAACAATTAAAAAAGAGATAAATTATCTAAATTAACAAGCGGTAAATTCTAACATTTCCTCCAACCATTAATCTGACTCTTGACCAAACGGTTATAAACTGATTTCAGTTAGGAATACCAGGGGTCCTCGACTTACGTCGGAACTCCACGTCCCATGTCCCTCACTGTGGTAACATCGTGGTACCATGTCTATCACGATACAGGGGCAACAATACCATATATTGCGATACATTGCAATACTAAAGGCACGACGATATATTGATTTGTTTTAACCATCAGCACAGTAACTGGTTAACATCAGGTTACTCCGACTGGAACAGAGGGGTCTACATTTGTAATCCCCAGAAAAGAAACACAAGCAAAATAAAATGTACCAACGCCATGAATATTTGCATGTTAAATATCAACAAACAAATCAATACAGCACTGGAGAATATTGATAAGGTATCTTAGAACAATAATATGAATAGAATAATGTCAGGCTTTTAGTATTGACATTTTCTCACACCTCTAGTAACATCATAATCTATGACATAAAAACATCAGAAGAGTCAGACTAACACCTGGGAGTCAGAGTGAAGGGCAAAAAGGTCCACAAAAACAACACAAAAATGTACGAAAGTGAATGTAGCACAATCCAATGTACGGTGTAGGACAGGAGAATGTAGACAAAGCTTTCCGCCTTTAGTGCCACATCGCGACATATTCAGCAACTCCACACACTGACCAATCCTGTTTTAACACTGTCTGCCGCAATGACAGAACCAGACTTTCTTTATAAATTTATGGGAGATGGCGATGTAACCACAACACGCTGTAGGTCGAGGACGTCGTAAACCGAGGTCCGCCTGTATTTGCTGTGGACCTGAACAACAGGACAGGAGTGTGTGAGTGTGTGTTTGTAATTTGAGAAATATTTAATGTAAAAACTGGTCGGACTCTGTTTGCTGTTTTTAACCTGTGGAGCAGAAGTAAGGAGTGTGGCCATGATGTTGCTCCTGAGCCACAGTTTGAAGCCCCTGTAATTAGAGAAGCACAGGATATACGATCATCACAAACCTAGATAAAGTGCGCCCTCTGTCACTGACCCAGATTTGTTGATTATGAAAGTTGTTTTCAAAAGAAAACCCTGATTAAAAATGTTTTACACCCGTCAGGACTTTATTTATCTCGCAAAGGAACGATGTCTGCTAAACACCAGAGCAAAAAAATAATAAAATAAAGACATTTGTAAATGACATTTCAAATGTCAGGAAACTCCGTCAGGATCGGAGCAGTGACGGAGTTTCCAGGAATGTTGCATCAGGTTTTCACAGGTGTCAGGTGTGTTCTCTGTGTGTCCCCTAAATTCCTGCAGGATAACTTTCACCTGAAGACTCTTCTGCCAGAGCTTCTGCCAACAGACAGTTTGTTTTGCCGGTCACAGCTTCCAGTCGCTGATCACCTGTCAAACAGAAGAATCACTTTTTAATGAGTCTTTAGAGGAAAAAAATGTCCGGCGACTGACCCTCATGTTTTCAGAGCCCAGAGAAGAATCAGCAGAGGAAGTGGGAAAAAACCTTCACCTTTGTCTTCACCGGCCCATCATCACACTTGTGTGGAGGCCACGGCTCTTTGTTTTCACTCTGCAGGACATTCAATCCTCAGCGCAGGTGCTCAGTGCTCAGATTCTGCTGCTTTTAGTCCAGAAGAAAACATAACACATTTAACAGGAAACGCCTGCTGCAGGAAAACTCACGGTTTCAACCAGGGCTTGATTTCTCCTCCAGTCCAAACAAGAAAACAAACAAATGGAAAACAAAAAGCTGACACTCGTCATCTGCTCATCACGCGTCATTTCATGAAGAACAGTTTCTTCTCAGCTGTTTTTTTAATTTTTACACAGTAACTGATGGAAATTTTCTCATAGATTCGAACCAAGGATAAAAACGTAGAACATTTTTATTGTGAATTAAAATTACAATACAAATAAGTTTACATTGATCTAAATGTTATTAAACTCTGCTCTGTGATTTAACATGACCTGAACTGTACAAACCTTACAGCAGTGATAATCAATTAGGGCCCGCTGACTCCGGACCGGACCACCAGACCGTCTAATCCTGCTGCGGCTGGATTCCAAAATTGTCAGAATCTAAACAACATATCATGTGGTGCCCACTATTAAAGCACCTGAAAATAACAACTGTCACTAATCCTCACCATTTATGATTATTTGAAAAAAAAAGATGATTTTTATTTTATTTTATTTGAGTGTCTGGACCAAAAAGTGACACTTTTTCATTCTCCAGGAACCGCACTTTGACTGAGTGGTTTCAGAAATGCTTCACAACCATTCACACAACCATTCACACAACCATTGGAACTACAACTACAGCCACCAGACGACCTGTTCACACCAATATTGACAACATTTTACACTAACGTTCCCAATCTCATTCACACCTGCTCTTACAGTTAGTGAAACTGTAGTGGATAACCAGAGGAGTGAATGAATGACAGGTCACAGTCCTTTGTTGTACCTCACAGTCTGCCAGTCAGTTGCCATGGCGATCTCCGGCTCCAGCTGGTTCACACTGATCTGAGACAGATTCAAGAAAACAGGAGACATCTTTGAAATCTTCAGAGTCAAGTTGGTGAAAAGGACAGAGACTTGACTTGAACTACAACTAACAAAGAACCCTGGTGGACACAGAGACACACACACACACACACACACACACACAACAATGGACAGATTAAGGCAAAGTTGACACTTTGGTCTGACAACTTTTCATGGAATACCTTTCTTACCTAAATGATTCAACATAACAATAAAATAATATATATAAAAATATATATTAACACATATATGTATATATATATTTTAAAAAACAAACAAACCACAGGCTGTCCAATCAGATACCAAAGCCCTAATAGTCAACTTATTTTTGTGCAACTATATATTATATACACACATACATACATATATTTTGTATACACACACATACTGCATATATACACAAACATACTATTATTTTTTTTAATTAAATTTGGACCAATATCGAGGCATCTCTATACCCAACCAACTTCCACCTGTCATGTTTATAACATACAGTGTTAACTAACAGTGTTTACAGCAGAAGACGAGGACGACTTTCATCTTTACTCTAGTCCCAGAATTTAGGCCCGATGATT